TGGGCGGTGCACCCCGGGTTTCATGTCTGCTGCCGCAGCCGCATATAGAGGATCCTCCGTGGCTGCAGCCGCGAGCAGAGGATCCCGGCACTGTCTGTACGGCACTGGAGTGGCGGTGCCAGCAATCCACTATATACAGCACATGTGCAGCATCGCTACGTACGGTGCATGCGTTGTATGTAGCGACGATGCACATGTGCCCTACGTAGCGACGCCCACCCCGGGTGTCATGATGCCTGTCTTCGCCCCTGTCCTTTACATCCTACTTAGGGCTGCTGGAGAAATTAGATTTGGTTCACATTAAAGGGCGAATCTCCCCAATTCATACTTTGCAAAATGATGTGCAAACAGAGGTGTAGCCATCGTTTAAAATTCACACTACTTCTGTTTTTGCAGTGTGGTTCTCCAGCCAAGTAATGTGTATAATAATGTAACTTCTAAGTGACCATTGCTGCAACTTGTAGTAGTGAGTTTCATAGGCATATGCATTGTGTGAAGAAATATATCCTTTTGCGTGTTTTGAACCTCTCGTTATTTAGCAGCTTTTGGTGCCTGCTGAGTTCCAGTGGTTTTTTTTAAAAAATGTTTTGTTTGTTTTTAAAACATTGAATGTTATCCATGTAACCCAAAAAACAAAAAAAGAATTAAGAAGACAAACAAATACAAACTATAACGAACAAAACCAAGGTTGGCATAGGATGTTACATTTGCAAGAAGAAATAAAAACACGAAATTCATAACATTGTTTCTTACATTGTAAACTGCCCTGTAATCTTTGAATGGTGGCATATAAATTTAATTAACAATAAAATAATAAAATCTGGCTGGCTACTATGGAAAACAGAATGCTGGTCTAGACTGGCCTTTGGTCCAATCCAGTAGGGTTCACCATATGTTGTTATGCTAAATTTCATTCTGTTTAATTTTACCTTTTGTCTTTATGTATCTGCTCTTAGCTGGAAAGCAAGGAATGGCTATCAATTGAAATCAATCAATAAGCCAACTAAAGCAGTCTCAGAAGGAGTAATAGCCAGTTTTTGTTTTTTTAAAAAGCTCCATAGATCTGGATATGAGTCCTCATAAATATCCTTCATTAAACAACTGCATTGTGTCACCATCCAAAAACACAAAAGGAAGGCAGCTTTAATTCATATCCTATCCTGCTTTAAAGGGAAACATGGAGAAACCAAGGGAATGAAAGCACCAATAACGGGAGAAATGTGCGTGAGAGAGAAAGACGGGTGTAAATGAAATCTCAAGCATGTACCCAAATTAAAATTGCATTGGCCCAACTCTTTCAAGACATACTTCTTCATGAGCACTTAAAACACCCTGCATACTCTAGTGTGCTCTTTAACCAAATGAATAAAACGGACAGCAAAAAACTCAGACCATTTAGTTTAAAGGGATGCAAAACAAACTGTCTCATATTGAAATGAGACCAGCTTTGGCTGCAGTCAATAAGTGTATGCCATGTCAGGAACGATGCACAGACTTTCTTGTAAGCAAGAGCCACAGCCATAAAAGGCTGTAGAAGGTCATCTCTTTTACCACTCACACCTTGGATTGAATCCTACAACGCTTCAATGGAAGTGAGCCTCATTGAGTTTAGTGAGGACTTGCTTCTGAGTATGCACACATAAGATTTCACTGTAAAAATATCACAGTCACATTAAGCTGTTGTTATGCAGTGCATTATTGGGACTGTTGTCAAGGATTGTCAAAGCCCTGCTCATCCAAAGGCTTTCTGACTGGTTTTAGGCAAGTTACCTATTATTCACTCACTGAATCACTTCCTCATCTGTAAAACTAGAATAATAATGGCCGTGTGTGTGTGTGTATTACAGTTCTCACGCTGTCCTGAAATGTCAGTATGAGGTAAACATTTGATACCTTCTGATGTGTTGTATGTCTATGTCTATATCTATATCTATCTATTTATAGCCATTTCTGTCTATCTTGACATTGATAACTACTTGGGGTGTGCACTGACTCTGTGTGTGGGCCGAATAATGAGGCAAAGTGATGTGAGGCTCTCTCCCCACAGCCCGAATTGAAACATGATGCCAATAAAACTCCCAAGTTCGAGCAGGACCCCCATAAAGCTGTATGTTGCCCTATTATTTCTCTATTCTTCTGAACCATATCCATATCCTCCACCATTCTCCAGTGAAAATAGGGATATCCTATATTTTCTTATATCTCTGTTTCTTTAGCTCCATGAGCATTGCAAGAAGTGAATGGCTGTACAGAATGTTGCCTGTGGAGTACTGAAGAGCCCTGGGTTGTTTCATGTTAAAACACACCAGCAGTTGGTTTGTTTTTTAACTTAAAAGCTTCATTTAAGGGTGTTTTTTTAAGGAACTCTGCAGGCACCATTATGGAGACAGTGTAACATTGTAAAGTCTATTGGCGGGCACAAGCAAAAAGACCAGGCCAGTGTGACCCTTTACTGCTTTATAAAATATCAATTAACAACAATAAAAATTATTAAAGATTTTATTTGTTTACAAAAGCATGTTCTTTATGTTCTTTAAAGTAGTTTATGTAAACATGTTAATCTTGTGATTTGTCCCCATTAGTTTGGTTTAAAGAAATAACCAATTTTAAGGTTTCCCTGTTAGAATTTGGTAAAGCACATCTACACATTAATTGCTATTGGATTAGAAAATTACGCAAACCTAAAATACAGCATTATTTTTTTTTTAAAGGCAGCAGGCTCTGAATCCTAACTTAGCTTTTTCAATACAATACTGTGCATAACTGTGATGAGAACTTCCACAGCTGTCTAGCTACATAGTTCCCCTTACAAGACTGAACAGAATTTCTTGAGCAGGAGAATGGGTATTATTAATTCAGTATGTATCTGTGATATAGATGTGCCCTCTGTCAAACAGTTTTAATTTTTTTGTAGAATAATTATTCTGCTTAAATTCCAGTAGAGGGCAGTGGTACATAGGGATACATAATAGGCTCTCCTTTTAACCATATTTTCCTATGGACCTTTAAGGTTTTGGGCAGCCGGTGTGTGTGTGTGTAGTTTGGTAAAGAAGTAGTTCCCAACTCAGCAGGTGAAATTCCCAGTTTGCCATGTTAACAGAAGAATTCTATCCTGACAGTCTTCTGGCAGAAAGTCACATGGCTAAGAAAGGTGGAACGGGCAGCCGTAGCATTTGCAAAATCCCACATCCAAAAGCTGTCTCCTCTTACAGCACAATTCTATTCATGTTTGTTCAGAAGCAAGTCCACCTGAATCTAAGAGGTGATGGCAGGCTGATGTCAGTGGGGCAGTGCCCCATCAACCTTATAGACCAGCCTCTGTGAAACAAACATAAAACGGAATGTGAACCAGGTGTATCACTTATCCTGATTAGAATGTTCATTCCTACTGCAAATATAGCGCTCTCCCATGTTTAGTTCCTCATTCTCAATCACCATTTCAGTCCGATAAACGGTGCACAAGAGAGACTCTAAAGTGATTTAAATCCCAGGCAAGTGATTTGACTGCAAAGAAGACAAAAATTATTCCATTTTTTTTATCTTTCCCTCCCACCTTTTGAAAGATGATCTGTCCCAGTGAGGCAAATGTGCAGCTCCAGCTCTTGGCTTCGCAGCCCTGGGAAAAATGTAGGCTGCATCCAGCTGCAGGCACATTTCCTCAGAGTTATGGGAACTCTACCACAAGCCCCACTTCTAGCTCATCCCTATTATAGCCAAGTCACCTGGCTGCCACAAAACTTCCTAAAAAGGTAACTTAGGGGTCTGCTATGAAAAAGGACTCCCTCTGACCCACTATAGTTCGAGTGCTGCATTTCCTCTAGTTGCATCCGGGAGTATGGTTAATGGTAAAGGAAGCATTTTCCTAATGTTGGCTTTGCGTATACTATGAGAAGTTGTCATCATTAACCCAACCCTTATTTCCAGAGTGATATGGAGGGTAAAGTTTGTTATTGAAGCTGAATGGGAAAATCCAAAGAAAATCACCAACATTTCATTTCTGTGAAATGAAAGGCCATAGCTCAGTCAGTGGTAGAGCAACCTCTTTGCATGTCAAAGGGGCCCTAGACATCTCTATGTTGTCCTGGGAACGTCCCCTCTGAAATCCTGGAGAACTGTTTCCATTAAGTGTACTAGATGGACCAATGGCTGATTTGGCATAAGACAGGTTCCTATGTTCATGGATACACCTGTAAGGCAGAGTTTCCCTTCAAACTGCTTAATTTTCTTCTACCAAAACACCTTCTTAAACAGACAAAGTTGATGAACCTGGAGAATTTCTTCTTCATTTTTACACACACAAGGTAAATTGTTTTGCCTTGCTCAGACGTGATTGAAAATGCCATGCTATTTTGTCAAGAACCCCATTTGATGCATAACTGTTCTGGCACTGATAGAGGAGAAAACATATGCTGTTTGCATGCCTCTATGGTTCTGCCTGCTCTGTAACACACACTGTGATTATCATTATGAAGACTTTTTTTTTGCCTGTTCTCATCGACACACAGCTGGTTGTGGGTGAAATGGAAACTGTGATGGGAATGCTCTGATGTTGCTCTCCTTAACTACACCTGCACGACACAGCCAGTTATATGTCACTACCTTTCAGATATCTGCTTCACTTCTACCTTGCTTCATCCTGAATCAGCAAGGGCAAATTTGCATGAAGAAATTGGCATTATGTTCATGGATAGCTCTTTTGGGTGCAGTCCTGGATGTACAAATGAACCTGAGGGAGATGCTTCAAATCTTACCCCTTTGTTCCATAAATGGGAAGGGGTCTAGCTCAGTGCTGGAGCATCTGCTCTGTGTGTAGAAGATCCCAAGTTCCATCTCCAACATCTCCTAGCAGGGTTGGAAGAGACTTCTGCCTGAAAACCTGGTGAGCTACTGTCAGTCAGCATAGACAATACTGAGCTAGATGGACCACTGGTGTGGATCAGTAGAAGGCAATTTCCTCTTTTCCTATCTTGGTCTGATGACTTGTTTTTGTCATGGTCCAGGAGGTAGCTTCACCTGAAGAAGAGCAGCCTGAAGTGAGAGACAGTGGAGTGACTCCAACTGCAGCTGATCAGCCTTCAAGGACTCAGAGAAGGCACTGATGAGAACCAGCTGGCTTCAGTAAGCAGAGCTTCCAGCAGCAGTCAGATGATGGTAACAAGGCTTGTAATTCCTAGCCGGAACTTGCTGCTTTCTGCTCATCTTGATTCTTGATTCCGGACCCCAAGATCATCAGATTCCCTGAACCCTGGACTGTCTGACCACATGGATTGCTGTTCACCTGACTCTAGGACTTGACCTACCTTTGGATGCTGACTTTGCTTCCAGGTAAGTACACATCAGAGATTCTTCTAGTTGGCTGGCCTCTCACTCGACATGGTCACTCAACAACAAGACTACTACAGTTTTGAGGGGTTAGAATTTATTTAAGTACCAAGTTGCTCTCATTACCAAACAAGAGATCAGCACTGTGAGAGGCCTGGTCTATAATATGTCAAGGGTGATATGGTTGCTGCTTCCCTGTACCTGGCTCCCACATGTTCTCTGGTTAACATTTGGAAGAAGGAAGATTGTGAGACAGCAGATCACATTGGAAATATTGTCAGTTTTACAGGCCTTCCAGAAAGGCAAAGCACCCAGAAATGTAAGGTTTGCTGTGGTTATGGAGAGGCTTCAGAAAGTGCACTGAACATCTTTGAAAACCCAGTTTGTCATATTGTGTAATATTTGACATGAAAGATCAAGATGAAAATTTCAAAGCAATATCTTAAAGAGACTAAATTCATCCATCTTCTTGTTGTTACTTCAACCTATTCCAGGTATGTTGAGACAGGTGGAATTAGAATAGGCTTGTGTTACATGGCATAATAATTTTTTTTATGGCTTTCCCTGCAAGCGTCTCTGCTGAGTTTGAGGGATGCCTCTTTCAGCAGCAGCCTGTCATGCCACAACCCTGTGATTCTTGCATTGCAAGGGGTTGGACTAGAGAACTTTTGGATCCCTTCCAGAGGGATTCTATGAGTCCGTAGCCCAGGCAAAGCAGAAGAGTCCATTGACCCTTCAGAAAGGCATTTAGGGTGGTGGTGGCGGCGGCTGGACACAGTTCCTACAGTGTATTGAGAGTAATATCATGTAGGGTTGCTCTGAAAACATTCCAGGAAGTAGTCAACGAGAAGTTGTGAAGTTGTGGAGAAAGCCTTGTCCCATTCAGACTGGTGTAGGCTTCTGAACAAACAAAAGTTTAATGCATAGAGGAAAACCCTTGGCTACCTTGTAAGCCTGTGTTAGGTAGGTGGCAACCTTCTCCTGACAATTCCAGAGGAATTTCTTCCCTTCCATGATTTTTCACAGGGTTTTTTCCCCCACTCCCACCCACCCAGCCAGCCAATGGATGAAAAATACGAACTTTCAACATAGCTATAGTTCAACTCATTCTATAGCTGCACATTTGCAACTGAACTCTCTTTTTAAAATGGAGTCTCTCTATACCAGGAGCAGCCAAGCTGAAATTGACAGATTTTCCCATCCCTAGCTACAAGACAAATCATGCTCAATGGAATTATTGAAAGAGTTACCCAATGAAACTGGCAGACTAACCACAGCAAACTGGCAGACCAACAACAACACTTAGCCATCCTTCACCCTAAGGTCCTAGGGCAAGTTACAATCATGTAAAAATACAATATTAAAACTGATATTGACACAATCTTTTGACACTCCAAAGGTAGGAAGATGATAGCAGTTCTACTGATAGGACAGAGGTTTCTTCATACTTCTCAACAAGCAAGCAAATGCCACATTTTCCATGCTATATTAATCTGGTTTGTTTTAGACCTTTGTTTTATATTGTTGAATTTTCCAATAACTTTCAAAATATTGGGTATATTTTTAAACAAATAAAACTGAATCCTACTTGAAAACACTTTTAAGTCCTCTTTCGTGAAATGCCAAAAAAGAAGAGAAATGAGGAAAGGAAAATGGTCCCAACAGTTAACTTGTGTCTCAGTGATACATGTGCTCATCTCCCCCTGACTTTCAAACATGCTTTCCATACCACCATTTGCATGCAAAGCTATTTCTCAGGAAATGTGTTCTTGGTCTTTACTAAGAGCAAGATGAACAGGTGGGTAACATTAGTAGAGAGGCCAAAGCCCCTGCATGTGGTAGTACAGCACCTCTAGGAAAGAGAATTTTGGATAAATGGACAAAAAGTGGGTCCATACAACATTTAATGGTTCAGTCCTTTGGTTCCTGAGTGTGTCCTGGAGGTCATAGGATTTTGCAGCTCTTCCTCTTTGTAGACACAAAGGGAGGTCCATCCTGGCAGTGTGGAAAGGACCATTCCCAATGTTCTTTCACCATTGGTGAGAAGGGGAGGTTCCCAAGGGCGTGTCAGGGCAGATTGGGGAGGTTTTGACTCTTCCAGATCTAAAACTGTTCCATTCTCTTAATACACACCCAAAATTGTGCCTCTGTGTTTGTGCAGGAATACACCAGATATGCTGGATAGGCATTGAAACATTTTGTTGCAGATATATTTTCACTCTGCTACCCTTCTTCCTTCCTGAGGCGTGATACCTTTCCATGTCTCAGAACGCCACTGGAGCCAACTCCAGGCGGCCATGGGTGCTTCAGCACCCACAATAATATATTTGTGGGGCTGGGCCCCCACAAATTCAATGGGCAACGTTGAAGCCCTTCATTGTGGGCACCCACAATCTTCGGTGTGAGATGGTACATATGCAAAGTGCCATTAATACTGGCTGGCAGGGGCTCTGAACAGTTTCTGTGAGGGGTTTGGGGGGATATGCAGCAACATTTTGTTGCCAGACTCCTTTTCTGGCACCAAAGTTTCCTGCAGTTAAGAACCACCTGATGTTTCAGAGAAGTTGAGATCCAGCACACTAAACACTAGATCTCAGAGAACGTCTGAAAGAGGTGGATCTTAACTGCAAAAAACCTTCATGCCAGCTTTTGTGTTTAAATGTATCAGATGCTAAAAGCAGTACAGTCATACCTCAGGATAAATACGCTTCAGGTTGAGCAATTTCGGGTTGCGCTCCGCAGCCCCCCCGGCAGTAACGGATCGCGTTACTTTCAGGTTTCGCCACATGCGCAGACGGTCAAAATGACGTCACACGCATGCACGGAAGTAGCAAAATGCCACGCGCAGATGCGCTGTGCCATCTTACGTGCTGCTCGGAATGTGAACGGGGCTCCGGAACGGAGCCCGTTCGCATCCCGAGGTACCACTGTACAAATTTATTCTATTCTTTCTTTTTTCTTTCTCTTTTTTCTTGTTCTGGAGGCAATTGAACTTTGCCCATGAGTGATAGTACAATGCTTAAAAAGTGGTAGCTATGGCTTCCTTGGTTGTATTCCCAGTGGATTCTGAAATATTTTCACCCCCTATGTACACACATCTTGTTACAAATTCACACACTAATAATTTCGTTCCAGGGTGTTCCATTAAGATGTTAAAGGTAAAGTTTAGAGGTGTCTGTAGGTCACCGTGTTGGCTTGTGGCTTTTATCACCCCTCGCCTTTGGCCATGCTAGCTGGTGCTGATGGGAATTGTAGTCAAACAACTTATAGTTGATACTATGTTGGCTACTCCTGGTTTAGAGGAACCCCACGTTTTGTTTTGCCTTGGAAACAACTGGCTGAGTGTTTGTAAGTGTAGTTAGATGTGTACCATACACCCCCATCTATTGAAGACATCAAAGAACTTGTGGAACCTGTTTCAGTATCAATTTTATTTCCTACCATACACCAAATGTACAGCACAGAACACAGTTTTGTTGCTTTTGATGTAAGAAATATTAATTGTATGAAGAAACAGTATACAAACTACTCCAAATTAAAAAAAAATGCATACATCATTGCTCTTTACAAAAGGTCTAATTTACAGGATAACTCGTCAATGCAAATTAATCCAACAAAGAAAAGGAAAAGGAAAGGAAGAAGGGAAGGAGGAATCACAGTGCACATTACAAAACATCAAGTACCAAGAAGGCAAATAAATACAAAGTTACATCCTGAGCAAACAATCCAAACACAGATAAATTAACCTGAAGCCATAGGAAATCATAGTAATAAATAGATAAGTCAGTAGGAGATTGTTTAAATTAAATTAAATATATAACAAATTTCTTAAAATATTTAGTAAATTAACTTTTAGTCTCTGTCATGAGTGAACTTGGTTTCTTTCCCCCTGTAATGCATTGAACAGGTATAGCAACCGTCTTTTTTAAAAAAACAAACAAGTACAATAACTTAATAGCAATTTGGTGTTCTATTTTATATTAGCACATACTGTGATAGCTTCTGTCAAATTGTTTTCTTTAAAAAATAAACACAGCTTCTAAGGACATTCTTTTCTAAACTAAGGTCCGAGGGCCATATCACCCCCGCCCCCCAAAACATTAACAGCAAGCTCCACCTATTGCAGAACAGCAACCACAGCATGACAGCTGAATGATTTGGGAGAAGCACTCTTGGATAGGAACCCTATAATATAAATGTACGAGTGAAGACTGTGAATGCTGTCATATTCAGTCAAAATATAAAGTAGGCAAATAAAAATAAACACTTTCATCGTAGCACAGGAAAATTAAATCACACGCTAGATTCATGTATACATTTTACATTGAGGCACATATGCACATGAGACGTGTGTGCATACCAAAAAAGGCAGTTCAGCTGGTTGTATATATACCTTCTTCTGAAAACATTAGAATTCTGGAAAAAAATGCATTATTACTTCTAATCCCTGAAACAGACACTGGACCCCTGTTTATAGCTGCTTACTAATCTGAGAATGGATACGGGTGATCAAGAGGTCTACCTGGGATGTGTACGTATTTCTGAGTGGTTGCCTAAGGACTGTAGCACTTGGAGACATACCCTTATTATGGGATGGTAATCAACTGCAACTAAGGCTTTCTTTAAACCTCGGCTCCAAACACATGCAACAACCTGATCCAAAGGAACATAGGATTCTGATACGTATGCAGGTCTCTTCTGCAAGCAGAGGCTTCCCCCATTCACTTCTATGCACGAGGCAGCAGCAGAGTTGCACGTTTAGGGGGAATGAGCCATTGCACAGGGGTCAATCGTTTGCATACAAAAGGTCCCAGGCTCATTTCCCAGCATTTCCAGGTAGTCCAGGGAAGTAGCCTGTCTGAAATACTGCCAGCCTGTGTAGAAAATACTGAACTAGATGGACCAGAAGTTTGACCTGGCAGGTAGACAGCAGCTTCATATGTTCAAATGGAGCTGCTGGAGTAGGGGTTTTTTTCTGAGATGTTACGCCTTAGCAGTCTTAATGGAACCTGCAGTAAATCTGCTTGGAATCACAGCATTCATGTACAATTGGAGGTAAACCCAATCAGTGTATTGCTACAGTTCATAGATCCAGTCACCAAACACCATTGCTGTGCAAGCCCCTTTCACAGCAGTGGGGCTTAGTCCCCTTTGCAACTGCAGCCTTCTCAGTTCCTTCCACTCAACCTAGTACAATAACTGACATCTCAGGGAAGATTTGCTCGGCTTAATTGTATGTACAAAATCATCAGCTTGGGATGCATTTTTCCAATATGAAATTATATTGATATTGATCTACTGACCAATGTTTTTACAAGGCTCTGTACAAAAAGGAGAAAAAAGCTACAGGTCATTTCAAAGCCTATCACATTAAAAGGGATAAAATTTATATATATATTTTCCCATTGAATGACCATGAAATAGGGGAAAACATATCTTAAATCACTCCAACCTTCCCTCTCGAATGGTTTCCAAGGATTATTTGTGGCAGGCTAAGACACACAGCCAAGTCCAAAGGTTTGCTGATTGCTATATTTCATTATTGCTAAAAAAAAAATCATGAACTCTTACAACATGCTGCACTTGAAGAGCTTATGTTCTTCCAGCAGAGGGCACCATTCACCTTTGCATCCTTGGTTCATCATATCTCATGCTATTGAAAACCCTTTTGAATTTTTTTTTTTTAAATAAAGCTGTTATAAAAAAGCAGGATGTGGTGAAAATAAAACTAGAATCACAGTTCTGTTATTTTTGTTTCTTTCATAGATTTCCCCCTTCTTCCTGTACAAACCCAGCAAAATGTTAAATTTACACTATAACTTTCAATCTATTTTAAAACCCCATTGGAAAATAAATTAACAAACACATTTGTAAAAATATGGCAGGCTGCAGAAATGCTGTTAAAAGATTAAAAAAACACGCACGCTCACAACTCCTTGATTGAAAATAAATTAAAAAAGTAAAAAAATAGTTACACACACTTTTTACATTCACTTTACAAAATGAAAAGAGTGCAAACCATGATGACAACAAAAAGGATTTGTACAGAAATAAATATATTCTATGATCTGAGTCATTGCTGTTAATACAATAGTCTGTTATGTTCTCTGTCCTTTTTATGTCAGCTGGAAAAAAATAGTGCAATGTTGTAAATTGTAAATGCAGCACAGAAACCAATACTTCTAAAGCAGTCCAGGCGCTCTTTGCAGATCCATCTGGAGTTTGCTGCTGCTAAGTCACTCCTGTTGCCCAGCAGCTTCCTCATCCTACACGTGGATACCCTTCACTGCCTGTTTGATACTTTCCAGCAGAGCCTTGCAGTCCGGGGAATACTCCCGTTCCAGATTGCTGTACATATCTGTGAGTGTATTTACATATGCTTCAAAATTCTGCTCACTGATTGGGCCCTGGAATGAAGATGAAAACACATCACACCTAAACATGGGAGTCAAATATTAGAGAAGGTGTCCACTATGTGACAACTGAAAAGGGGGGGGGGTGAGCAGCTGGACATGGAAGGACTGTCTACAGGAAAACAAATATTGTTGGACTCCAACTCTCATCAGCCCCAACGACGACGGGCAGAGATGTTTGGAGTTGTGTCCAACCACATTTAGAGAGCCATAGGTGATTCCTGTATCACAGGGAGTTGGACTAGATGATCCTTGGAGTCTCTTCCAAACCTATATGGCTCTAGGTAACCCATTCCTAGTTTAAGCTATTGCCTGACTATGGCCTGTTGCTAGCATCACCACCTGACCAGAGAAAAATGACCTGGCCATTTTGAATTCACTTCTTTTCAGAAGTAGTCAAGTCTTTGACAACAGCTCTTTGGATCCCAGCCAGCCAATGGGATGGAGAACTGGGATGCTGTGGCCCTCTATCTGGCACTTGGGTTTCTAGCCACACCATACCCCCTCCCTAGACTACACCTCTCACTGCCCCTCCTTTGCAACCACCTTGAGTGTTTTCGTCTGGCTGGAAATGTGTTCTTGAGCTCTGATCATGCTTTTTTGCTTGCTTGGATAGAGAGGTGTTTGTGTAGAAAGCAGCCTGTTGTAGAAACAACATTTACATTTCTTCCTCGGCTCACTGGTATGTGGCCCTTGGAAGATTGCCCAGAAAGGAATGTGACCCAAGTCCTCTCCACTTCCAAAACATTTCTCTTCTGTGCTTAAAGGTATGGTCATGGTCTTCTCCAGCAGTAGAGGGGCATTACTCACCTGGTTTCCCAATGCCACATGTCCCTGCCAGTTACCAGGAGGGAGAGTGGGAGGGGCAAATTAATGGGAAGTTCAGCATGGTGCATGCACAGCAACACAGCCAATCCCACCAGCACTGGACAGGCAGTGTGGTGTAATGGTTAGAGAGTTGGACTTGGATTTGATTCCCCACAGTCATGAAACTCACTAGGTGATCTTCAGATGGGCCAGTCACCATCTCTCAGCTTAACCTACCCCACAGGATTGGTGTGATATTATTGAAATTTAGATCCTACTTTTTTCCTTGAAGGGGAAAAGCTTATAGATAAAATGGGGAAGAGGAGAACCATTTACACCACATTGAGCTCCTTGGAGGGACAGAATTAGGAATGTTGGACTGGCCATGTTGCTGTACCTGCTCTGTACCAAGCTGCCTGCTGCCTTACCACCGTTGGTAATTGGAAAGCCAGGTGAGTCCCCACCACTCCTCTGGCCGCTACTACTATCCATAATTTTTGGCACATCCCAGAGATTGAGAATGTTGTACATTTTGAGATTCATCTCTGACAGCCCTGCAACATGCCGTTGACTAACTTCCCTGGGCTCCCAAGAAACTGCCACATTCCCAGCCACAGACATACCATTTGTGGAAGCTGAATGTCGGCCAGACTGGAGATGAGGGCTTGACTGAGGCCAGCCAACTCCTTCAAGAGGCTCTCGTTGTTCTGCTCGATAAGTTTGTTCTCCTCTTCTATCGTTTTCAGATTGCTCTCCATAGATGTTATCTGAAACCATGAAGCAAAGCAATGTATGGTAGTGTGAACAGCAGAAGTAAACCAACGGCTGAAGAGTTCTCAAAATGCTCCCAAAAATGGTTAGTGTGCCTGATAAAGCCTGACACATTTTAGCGGGAAAGTATGCTTTCGAAAAATCCTTTCACTTTTTGCTTTATGAGAAAGTATATTTGTAGTTCCTGATGGAAGTGGGTTCTTCTTTTTATTTTTTATTTTTATTAGTATTATTTTTCAGAATCATATACAATCTAGAAACAAAGATAACCCATACCCAACAGAACCAACCAAAAGTCCCTGGCGACCACCGAAAATACATTATGAAAACTTGTGTTCCTGTATGCATACCCCAACTTACAACATCTGTAAAACATTTTCATATAGATGGGTTCTTTTAAATGTACAATTATGTGTTTTTGTGTGTGATTGATATTGTCCCTGAAGAAGGAAAATTCCCTGCTCCCGCAAAATGCATTGGGCCAATGCACATAATTTATTTTTCCAGGGGATCAGGCTCTTTGCAAAGTTTTCTGTCTTTTGTATTCCTGCATTCAGTTCTGGTTACTGCGAACAGTGGGGTTCTTGGCCTAAAATGCAGCTATCAGAAGTGATAGCCCAAGGCAGTGGAAGTTGCCTATGCAGAAGTGAAGCTCAAGTCCTTTCTGTTCCATGCACATCAATGTCAAAAGGCGCTCCTAATTGGGGCGAGCCATTTTATTTCTAAGTCAGTGGATTCTGCTGTTCTTTCAGAAGAGGAATATGTTTAAATGATGCTCTAGACAGTGACCCTGCTGGATGAAAAGAGCATTGTTTGTGGGAAGCGTGTTCAGAAATGGACGAAAGACTGCAGGCCTCGAGCTGACAACTCAGGAGGAGTGTCTGATTTAAAATGAAGAGTTTTGCCCTGAGGGACTGGGGTAGGTAGGGAGCAAGCAAGCTGCTATTTACATTGCTGCCTTTTTCTCACAGCATCGCTGCTGACTCACTACAATAGCAGCAACCCTGGTTTTGGCTTTTGAGCTACTTTCCAGGGCAAGGTTATGCTGTAGAGTGACTGAGTTTGAAGACAGGACAGAGTATAAAAGCTAAAAATAAAAAAGTAGAATAAGAAATGAAGGAGCTCACTTTGCAACAATTCATTGTAACATAGGCCAGGCATTATATATATTATTTTGAGAGAAGCTGAGTGAAAAATTGAGCTTGGGGCCGAGACCATACATTTTAAAATCTATAATACCACTTTAAACAGTCATGCCTCTCCCCCCAAAAAAGTCTGGCAACTGTAGTTTCTTCAGGGTGCTGCAAATTGTTAGGAGACTTCTATCCCCTCAGAAAGCTGTAATTCCCAGTTCCTTGGGAAGAGGGATTGGTTGTTAAACCACTGGAAATTTTAGCTCTGTGAGGGGAATAGGGGTCTCCTAACAAGTCTTAACACCTTAACAAACTACAATCCCCAGGATTATGGAGGGAGGGTGACTATTGGATGTGACAGCTCTCATAACATACACTTCAGTATACTATTTATATTTCAAGGAGGAAAAATGAATGCACTGAAAACAGTTAACATACCCAGCTCAGCCCAACTCAGAGTAGACTAATTGAAAAAAATGGACATAGCTAAGTTAGGTCCATTCATTTCAATGGATCTAATCTGAGTAAGACTTAGTTGAATACCATCTCTGATTTTTAGCATGCCTGAGGAGCTGTGTACACACACAAACACATATCCTTGGAAAAAGTTAATTACAATTTGAATTTAAGATTTAGCTGGTATTTTTTTCCATTCCAGTTGCCCAATTTTACTTACATTGTGCTCATTCATTAGACTAATTTGATGAAACAATGCATTTTTAAAAGTGGAAAATTTGCCATAATATATATATTTGTGGAAATTTAATTGAGCAAATCATTAGCTTTCCATAATAGCATGATTCTTTTTTTCAAAAATGGGCTGCAGATTCAGTTAAACAACTGCATAAGCAACAACAAATTTGGCTTTCAGTCGGAACATAAAAAAGCCTGCTTGGTCAGGCCAATGGCAAATCTAGTCTAATATCCTCTTCTCCCAGTGGCTAACCAGGTGCCTGGGGAAAACCCACAAGCAGGTTTCAAGCACAAGAGCTCTGTCCCCAACTGTGGTTTCCAGCAACTGGTATTCAGAAGCATTGCTGCCTCCAACTGTCAAATCCTCTTTTAAAACCATCCAAGTTGGTAGCCATCACTGATTCCTGTGGGAGCGAGTTCCATTGTTTGATTATGTGCTATATGAAGAAATATTTCCTTTTGTCTATCCTAGAACTTCCAAAATTCAGCTTCATTGGAGGTCTGAATTCTAGTGTTATAAGAGAGGGGAGGAACCCCCTTTTCTCTTGCCACTTTCTCCATGCCATGCATAATTTTACAAACTTCTACAGGTCGCCTCTTACTCGCCTTTTCTCTAAACTAAAATGTCCCAACTCTGCAACCTTGCTTCATAGGGGAGTGGCTCCAGGCCCTTGATCATTTTGGTTGCCCCTTTCTGAACCTTTCCAAGCTCAACAAAATCCTTTTTGAGCTGAGGCTGTATGGCAGTAAACTAGAATGATCTGAAAAAATTAAAAGCAAAGGTTTGAACCCAGGCATTCTATGAGACCATGACTTTAAACCAGTGGGTGGAAGGCAGGGAGACCAACAGTAGGTGAAGCTAGACAGATGAAGCAACAACTCCTTTAAAGCTCCAATGAAACCCTTGCTGAACCAGAGAAATAGACCATATATGGGTCAAGGTAGAAGAAGGCAAAGGCAAAGCCTCCAAAAGGAAAATTGGGCCATGTTGCTTAGGTTTCACGGGCCACAATAATGAGCTGGAAAGTTGCTGTGATTTCCATGCAACTCTGCCCAGTTTGCATGCTGCTACAATGCTGAATCCATGGGTGCAGCTATGGGAAACATAGTATATGTTAACAACAGCTTGCAAACAAAATTCTCAATGGTCAACATACAGTAGCAGTGGCATAGCATAGGGGAGCACAGGGGTAGCTGCCCCAGGTATAAGATTGTTAGCGGGTGCACATTTTCAACACCCGGTGCTGTCTCAATACAGCCATGTGCTTCTGTTACTGGGCTCTGTTGAAAACAGCTTCTTCATGTGAACCAGGCTAGCAACCCACTCTACGCTACTGTGCAGTAGAGTTCACCATCATTGCAATGCCAGAGATTAGTAGGAGCTTTTGATGTTTGTTTTTAAGGGCTCAATCAGAGATTTTCTTCCTTACCTGTGTCTGAAGTTTCATCATGTCAGCTTCAATTTTAAGGTTGGATTCATTCAGTTCTTTTATTTCTTCATCCAAATGTCTGATTTCCTCCTCATTCTCTAAACCTGCACAAGAATGAGCCAAGTCAAGTGTAAAATCACACCTGACTGAAGAGATGGGCAAATGCTAACCCCTGTGTAATGGTATGTTATAGAACAAGCCTCTTCAGTTAACCTGGTCTCTGGAATCAAAATTGCACATTTGCAATTTAATTCTACACTTAACGGGGTCAGTGTCAAAGCTTCCATTATGGCATGTCAGGGGCAGAGAAGCAGCCATGAAATTTTCCCTTTGCACTGATGGAGCTCAATAGGCCTTCAAGTGGCTGAAAGTGGCCCGCCTGGATTGAAAGGCTCAATCCAGTACTGATATTTGTTGAAGGGCAACCCTGGGAACAGAGCGCAGGTCGCCATAGCTCAGGATGAGGGAGAAATTTGGATTACATCTCAATGCAGATCCTTTTATTTTGCAGTTTCTGAACCAATGAGCACACAGAAAAGCAGTGATCCCTCCAAATTTGCACTTTCCCAAATTTTGTTGTGCAGCTCCCCAACCACAGCATGTGCATAAAAATGCGTTTTTATCCCGAAATACGTTATGGGAAATTGCTTGAAAAATGTGCATATTGGGAGAAGCACATTTCAAAGTGCTGATGAATTTTGGTGAGGCCTATTGTTATTATTAAAATTGTTGTTGGTTTTTATTATGATTGCAAATTTGATGTGGAAATCTGGTGGACTGGAAAGATGAGACACGGATATAGGCAAATTTGTCCATCTCTACCTGTGTCCTGTTCATTGTGAGGCAGTACAAAGTACTTTTAATTAAAATGTTCAAATGAAAGGCACAATGTAATTACATATATTTTTAAGTAAACCAAACATTAAATTAATTAATCCAATTATGTGTCTTCATGAGGCAGGCAGCAGAGGGGCTGTAGCTCTGTGTTTGCAGAAGGTCCTGCTTTCAGTATACAGCATCTTCTGTGAAAGAATATCTGGTAGCTGGACGGAAAGACACTTTTTCTTAGACTCTAAAGAGCTGCTGCTGGCCAGAGAAGACAGTACTGGGCAAAGACAGACTCATTTCCTTACTCCCAGATTCCAGTGTCATATATGTACTGCTTTTGTTATCTTCTTACCTCCACTTGCTTTCAATTTGATGGTCATCAGTTCTTCCGATATTTTGCCCTTTTTTAAGGCTTGTGCATTCAGAGGGCATCCAGACAAACTGAAAAGAGTAGGAAAGGGGACCTATTTGAAAATTGAAACACATTTTTGATTGCTGTATCTCAGCTTCCAGGGTCTTGGCAGTACAAGTCCATTTTATTGTGCTGCATGTAAGCTGCAATCCTGTATTGCTACTACAGTGTTACTGGGCGCAGAATGTTGCCAATGACCGAACTGATTGTGTAGTTACTAAAATCTCTCTAAGACAACAAATAGGCAAATTGTCTTCAGTGCAGCTCCTGACATGGCCCCATTTTAACTATGTAGTGGGTCATCTTCAATGGTGGCTGCTACCAAAGCAGAAGCTTAAACACACCTTCTGGAAAATAATACATAATGGTGCAGCGGTGGTAAGTCAGTGCTCTCTACTGGGAAGGAGAGGCAAAGCAGTGATGAGGTCAATGTGGCACAAACACATCACAGGAGTGCTGGATTGGCTCTGCAACTGCATTTGCACCATGCTGAATACCCTTGCTGCCTTGCCCTCTACCTCTGTCACGCTATCTGCAACTAGAGGCAGCAGTGTAAAATCCTGGACCAATTACAGCACAATCCTATACATATCTACTCAGACATAAATTCCATGGGATTCAAGAGGGCTTATTCCAAGGTAAATGTGTATAGGATTGTTCTATTAAAATCTGTGACTGATAGTCAACTAAATTTAACTCAAGAGTAGACCCACTGAAATGAATTAACATGACCAAGCTAGGTCTATTAATCTCTGTTGGTCTACTTGGAGTAATACTTAGTTAAACATCACCAAATTTACAACAACTGGGGTCAGCTTAGATACGCAAATGAATATAACAGCTCAGTAATTTGCTACTAAAAATACTTTGCATTTTAAACAGGACTTTAAAGCAATAAATTATATTTGCATTCTCAGATAAGTGAATTTAGGATTGTGGTCTTAAAAGTCTAAAAAGCTTGCAACTCAGAGTCAACTTCGAAATGCACATGAAAAGAAGAGTTCAGGAATATGCTGCTAAAAATACCTTGCCTTTTAAAAAGAGCTTTTAAGGCTAAGCAGTAAATTGCATTTGCAGATTTCTCACCTATTCTAGGTTGATATGTGAATGTTTAGACAGCTAAAATAAAACCAAAGACATCTCGAAAAATCCTGGACATCTCTAGGAAACGAGTTGGGGTTAATTCAGGGACTTATGCAAAATCCTAACAAGATTTTTCCTATCAGTTCAACAGCTTCATTTGTTAAATTCACACAATTGCAATACATTGTAGGTATTTGTTGGGTTAAAAAAAAGTAAAGATACAAAGTGATACCTTCTATGGGTGACAAAAACGTTATTAACATGACCCAGCCCGTTGCAGCCTGGCAAAGGACAGTGTGGCAGCTCCTGCTTGTTCAGTCTCCAGGGCAGCGAAGACCCATTGAGAGGACTCTCCTTCTGTCTCTTGGCAGCCATAGGACAACCCGAAGCAGTGCGATGAGAAGTGTATTTACCTGATATGTGACCTTGGCCATCACAGCCTAGCACCGGACATCTACAGAAGCACAGCAAAACTGATGTTATTTTTAGGAAAAAGAAAAGAAAAACCAAGAGGCAGAAGGGGAAAATGTCCATGTACCAGCGACACCTCAAGAAAGATTTCCTCCCCATAAATAAAATAAAGCCTAATTTTTTATAATATTAACGTACTAATAGCAAGGTTTTAATGTGTTTAGGTCCTCCTTGGAGGTTTCCTGTAGGCATCTGGTTGGCCACTGTGAGATGCTGGACTAGATGGGTCATTGGCCTGATCCAAGGGTTTCTAATGGCCAAATGCCTTGTTTGATGCTGGATTACTGAATTTTAGGCTACTGTATTTTACTCTTGTTTTAAGAGTCATTGATTGATTTTATTTATATGCACTATTAAATAGTGTGGGGTTTTTTGGCAAGCTGCTCTGGAAAGTTTTTTTAATTTGAAGGAACAAGGGAAATATATTTAAAAGAAACAAGTAAAAGGCACAGTTTGAGGAAAATGGCCAAGCAAGCCAAACTAGACTCCTTGGTGTGTCAAGATTGGCCCACAAGCTGCTGGTTCCAAGCTGTCTATACATTAGGGCTGCCATATGAAGACCACTTTAAAAAATACAGTCCAATAAACCGTTATTGAACTCAATGAGTGTATGCAAAGGATTTCACTGTGAAATACTTTAAATATGGTGGCTTTAAATATGAAGGAGGCTCGACTAGCTTCCATTAGTGATCTGCCATAGTGTCATGAGTCCCACGCTATGAATCACTTTTTCAGCAGGTACACTCACTTTTGATTTTCAAGCATCTCTGAAAGACCTTTTTATGTAGGCAGGCCTATGCAACTGTTTAGATGTTTTGATCAGTTGATCATTTTAATGATCATTTTGCACTCTTCTTATTATGTTTTCTATTTTATTGCCTGTCCTGCCATATGCTATCTTGATATATATATATATATATATATATATATATATATAATCAAATAAGGAGGTCAAATCTTCACGTGCAGAGGCTCCACATGCAGACAATTGTCAGCCCCTGTAAGCATCAGCCAGTGAACTGGTAGGGGAAATAATGTATGATATGTAAGCCTTCCCTACATGTGGGTGTACAGGACTGGCAGAAG